ATGACTTATGAAAGTTTAATTTTAATGGTCTATGGTGCTTTTATCTAGTTATATTAAATGAAAAAAATCATTGTAATCTATTTTATTTCCAATTGGCTGCCTGAAACAAGGAAATATATGCTCTGTTGCTCTTATGAAATATTTTCTGTTTTGATCTATATTTCCAGATTGAAGGTATTGGGATTTGTGGAATGGATTTCTATACAATTTTATAAGGTTCAATGACTTGTGAGAGAGCCAGCATGACAGGGCAAAAGAGACTCTTCCTATTACAGGAGGTGACATGTCTCCTATAAACACTTAACTCTTAAAGGCCACAAATATATCCTTCAGAGATAAACCAACAGTTGTATAAACCAACATTATAGGATCCATATAGGCAGAGAGTATACTGATGATGCCACTAACAATATATACCTAGCAAAATACCTGTCGTCTATCTGGAACAGTAAATTAAACATGTGATAAGTGCCTTAACAAACAATAACTATAATGCTTGATAATCCTGTGAGGCTGTTCTCCTAATGAGGAAATTGGGGTTCACAGAAGTTAACTTGCTCAAGGTTCTATGACTACTAAGTGGCAATGTCAGAATTTGAATCCAGGTTTTCCAACTATGAACCCCATGCTCTATTATCTGTTCTGACATCTATTAGTATAAACTAAGGAAATTGGCATCTGTGGGAAAGAGGCTGCAAACCTCAAAGAGTAGTTAAGTACGGCCTGTTCTGTGCACATTCACAGAGGTGGCCCAGCACATTCATTCTTTCTCTGATCCTTTTCATTGCGTGTAGGCTGGTTCTTAGTCTTCTAGAGACTGACGGAACACTGGTTTTTTGAGACTTCATAAATCTCTGTCAAAAACACATTACCTGAATTCTAGTATCTTCCATCTGCAAATATGGTTTTTAACTCAATGTCTTTTAATTCTACCTTCTCTGGCCAAAAAAAAAAAAAATTGTTTTTAATCTTCAGGCATTTTTCTTGTGTTTCATTAATGCACCAAATAATTACACCTTCTTGAAATGATGATTTTTATCAATCTATATCAGTGGGAGATATAGATATTAATTAATGCTAGCTACCTTAACTTTAATTTCTACCCCTTTTTAAATTTTGAATTTGATACTACTTCCGATGTAAAAGAAGCCTTATTCCCTTAGAATTATTTCTTAAATAATTTTCTGTTAGTAGTTTTGTTGTCTTAAAAGGCAAGGATACATCACTTATTTTCTTTCTTTAATAGACTTCTTCATGCAAGATTTTTTAAAAAAACTTTAAAAAGGGAATCATATATTCACATAGGGCATCTATCAGAGTCTCCATTAGAGCTAGTAACTACTTTTAATTAAGCAATTACTACAGTAATTGTACAGTAAATTATCTAATGAATGTATAGTAGGTGCTATACATGCCATATTTTACTTGACTTAATACTTAAAATACCTATGGAGGATAGAATTGATTTTCAGTTGAGAAAGTTAAGAGTTAGAATGAATAAAACCTTGCCTGAAGTCACCCTCTGAATAGCTGGTAGAGAGGGGATGTAGATTGGGATCTGTGTGACTCAAAGACCATGCAAGTAAACTTTACACCTACGACCTCAGGACATAACTTTCGACTGGTA